GGTAAAGGAGGTTTTGTGGACGAGGGGCTTGGACTTCCAGCAAGCGTGCGTGAGCGTGTTAGATAGGAGTGAATGGAGACGAATGGTACTTGGGACCTGTCGATCTGTTGGAGTGTGAGCAGGGTAATATTTAGTGAAGGGATTCAGGGAAACCGGTTATTTTCATATAGTCGGACTTGAGTCCTGGAAATGGGAAGTACAATGCCTGCACTTTAAAGGAGGGGTTTGGGATATTGGCAGTTTGGAGGGATATGTTGTGTATCTTTATATGTATATGCTTCTAAACTGTTGTATTCTGAGCACCTCTGCAAAAACAGTGATAATGTGTGAGTGTGGTGAAAGTGTTGAATGATGATGAAAGTATTTTCTTTTTGGGGATTTTCTTTCTTTTTTGGGTCACCCTGCCTCGGTGGGAGACGGCCGACTTGTTAAAAAAAAAAAAAAAAAAAAAAAAAATATATATATTATATATATATATATATATATATATATATATATATATATATAAAATATATATATAATAATATATATATATATATATATATATATATATATATATATATATATATATATATATATAGAAAATTATTAATAGACAGAATACATTTACAGGAAACACAACATGAATACAATGGTACAATATGTTAAAGACTATGGATTTCCTCCAGCTCCTCCGAAGAAGGACGCGAGCCCAGTATACAGCAAGCATTTCCTCTCTGGATGGCCACGTTGAGGCGCTGGAACATGAAAGTGGCTGCCCTTGGGTCCCTGGTGGCGTCGATGAGTCTGGATCGCGATTCTTTAAGGAAACATGTGACATTTTTTCCCCATGATCCCAAGGTCTCTGATCCCACTGGGACAAATTGATACTGTTGGCTTATGTCCCTGTACTTGCTGATCTTGTACTCCTCCCTGTGGTCAGCAGCTCCTCCCTGTCGCCCCACACTGTGATGGATATAGGTGTTAGCCAGTGTGGACACACAGGTATAGTCCCGTGCTAAGAGCTTGCCATTCTTCCAAGGATAGATGGTGATCCCGTCGGGGCAGTTTGCTGGGTTGTGGGTATTGTTGGCTGCTAGTAATCGGGGCTCCCTCTCGGCTGGGCATCCAGCTGTAGCATGGGTTCTCTTTATGATGTTGTTGACCTCATTGTGTCTTGCATGCCAGCTCTTAGTTTTGGAACAGTTAAGACCATGTAGACTATATTGGTCGGCTTGCACTTCGCCGCAAATACAGGTATATTCCGTGTGAATTGGGGCAGCAAGGCACAGAGCCACTGCAATACGGAGGGTCTTAGGGTCGAGGCGTGTTCCCATTACCGATATGGGAACTGTTTGGAAGAAGTCCCCGGAGTGAGGTCCATTCACAGCCTGGAGACAGGCAGTCTCCCTGTCTGATATCACAGCCTTGAGCATGTTGGCAAGCACCTTTTCAGCGATCGGGCCATCCCAGCTTGACTGTTTGTGAGCCAGTGCTGCACTAGAGTTTGGTGCTGAAGCAGCAAGAGTCTCCCATTCAGCGATGGCACTGGCATAGTTAGGGTCCTGTATTCCTGCTGAGTCACTGAGGTTATCAGGAAGAATTTGTCTTATTAACTCGTTTGATGCTATGGAAGAGGATAGGAAAGCTGGTAGAGCAATCTGGGAGGATCTGCGTACTCCCAGCCCGCCAAGCCTGACCGGAAGTGAGGCTTGCAACCACTGTCCATCTTCCAGGGAACGATTCAATACACTCTCTAGCATGGTCTTAAGGAGAGAGTCATATTCCTTGAGTTTCGGACTGCTGAAGGCTGGGGAGCATCTCAGAAAGTAGGTACGTTTTGGGATTGACAGGCACCTGATGAGTAGGTAGAAAGCATCATGTGTATCACTGTCTTTCATTCCTGCCTTCCATCGTCCCGGAGGTCTGAGATTTTTTTTTCTAGGATCAGATAGATTGCATTGGACCCAAGAGGAGCGCCAAGGAGAGTGCTATTGGCTGGATCAATGGCTCGTGCTCCTGGTAAAACGGCACTAATATTATGGATCATCTGTCGATTGGTAGAAACTATTTCACATTTGGTGGGGTTTAAAGATAGGCCCAGGCTTTCTCCCATGCCTTTAATTTTTCTGATGTCCTCTAGGAGAGATTCTGTTGTGCCAGCTAGGGTACCATCATCCAAGAACCAGATACTGAGCTCACTGGAGAGTGCTTCTGTGACTTCCTTGATGACCAAACAGAAAAGAAAGGGGGCGAGAGGGTCCCCCTGTTGCACACCCTCACACGAGTCAATTTCATGGTCCCCAAACAATAGTTTGGAAGTCACACTATAACACGATTCTATGAAGGGATAGAGGGAAGGGAAGTTTCTATAAACTGCTTGGAGAGCAGCATCCCTTCTGACTGAGTTGAAAGTGTTGGCAAAGTCCAATTTAATCAAGGCTTTTTCATCGGACATGGTGTTGATATATACTCGTGCTGCGTGGGTAGCTGCTTCACAGCCCTGTTGAACACCAAAACCGAGCTGAGCTGGCTTCGACATTGCAGCAGCCTCTTGACTCACCAGCCTTGGCGACTAGGCGACGAAGGATGTTACCCACTGCAATGGGCCTGATTCCTCCATCTTTTTTTCCGAAGGGCACACAATGAGGCACCAAAGAAAAGGGGGTCTAATAGCCTCTGGGACACTGCCAGCCAGGCACAGGTTGGAAAATTTGGTGAGTTCAGACAGAAGCCTCTCTGAAACATCACCAAGTGCTGGATTGAGTATTTCTTTTAAGTGTTGAGGCCTTAAACCGGTGAAACCTCTGCTGAGCCCTGTGGAAATGACACAGCAGCTTTATACACATCAGCATCCTGTAAGGTTAGATGTTCTTCGCCTGCTGCAATGTCAGGGAGGGCGATTTTGATACTGGGAGCCCTGGGTGGATGTTTGTCCTTCAGAGCTTGCGCCGTACTAATGTCCTTAGGAGCGATGGGTATCCTCACTGGTTATAAGCCTCAGAGCTCCAATAGTATTACTCTCTTCTATTTTTTTGCTAATTTGGGCTCTGATTTTTGAGGCGTCGGGTGTCCTGTTGTTGACATTTGCCCAGCGGGAGACAGACGAGGTTGTCATCCCTCGGGAATGCATTTATTGCCATATATATATAATATATATATAATATATAAAATATATATATATATATATATATATATATATATATATATATAATATATATATATATATAAAATATATATATATATATATATATATATATTTATATATATATATATATATATATATATATATATATATATATATATATATATATATATATATATAAAATATATATATATATATATATATATATATATTTGAGCCAGGTGAGTGCTTCGACTCACCTGATTAAAATATATAAGCAACTTCTTCTACCATATGCTGTACTTTCTACAAGAGTGATGGACTGAACACATCGATTCCAGGCTGAGGGACTGATTACCTCAAACTCCTCCTCTCCTTACACCTTTCTGCTTTGTATTGTACTGATGAAGCCACTTTATAGTGAAACGCTTTTTCAATAAAGATTCCCATATGTTGCATAAATGTCTCAGTCTTCAATTTGTCGGTTTTAAACCATTTATCACATAGACGTATGTAGCTGAAAAAGGTATATAATACCGACAAGTTAACGAGTAAGACACATGTGCAACAAATGGTTATAATTAACTATAATTTTTAAAGGGGTGGATGGGTAAGCCAGCGGAAGGCCTCTGTCAGATGACCTAAAGCTCCAACGGTGGGTCATCATTTGACTAAGACCCGCATCAGGAAAGACTTGTCCTGTTTCCTGACGAACCTTGCCTAACCTAACCTGCAACAGTTAGGTATCTATATTGTTGAAACGTTTCGCCTACACAGTAGACTTATTCAGTCAAATACAGAGACATCAGGTGTAGTAGTGAAATGAAAATGATATAATTAGTCCATGAACCTTGGAGAAATAATAGTTGAGGTGGTCAGTATTTGAGGAGTTCAGCTCCGTGGAACTTGCAACACCATACAACAAAGAGCTAGTAAGAACATCATTTCAACAATAATTCTCCTTTCGAAATTGCTATATGCTGCTTCTCAGATATTATATAGCACAATAATTAGGTGACCTCATGCCTTCACCTGATCGTCACCTGCGACTTTAATTCTCTACTACATATACAGTTTTCATATTCTCCTGCATCATTTAAGGTAACCAAGGTTCCAGGATCAAAACGTATTTAATAAAGGTGTCCTAAGCATGTTCACCTGTATCTTTCATCCATATTAATTACTGATATCTATATACCTTTTCCTTCAAAGGATTTTACCTCTTGTCTCACACAGTGCGCTAACTTTTGACAACGATGTAATGCCGGAACTGGCGGGAAGTCAGATAGAGGAACAGATGGATGAAGAGGAAGGTGGTCCACTAAAACGAGGCGCGAGGCAGGTGACGAACAGAGATGGTAGAAAATTTACTGTTTGGTCTACATACTCCAGTACCCTCACACTCACCTCTACCTCCTACGTCGCCGGCACCACCGTCTCCGTCACAGCTTACTGTATTGCACCAGGACTTACAAACGGATGCTTCGGGAAGTAGCGAGCAACTGCCTGAGCCTGCTGCTGCTACTATTGCTGCTCTGCACCAGGACTCATGGCAGGTTGTATCGGGAAGTAGAGAGGACTAACATAGGTCCTGCAGGTCCCACCACAATGATCATGAAATAGCAACATATATAATACTGTATTTTTCATCTTTCTGAATCAAGTTATGTATTTTGGACTCTCTTCCTCGTGTATCACAATAATTTAGGTAATAAATGAACACTATTTTCCACCTAGTTTTACTGACTAACTTGCAGAGATAAGTTGTTAATTTACCTGAACACGTGAACCTCTGTTGATATAAAGCATTCTCTGTGGACGAAGACTTAGTCTCCTGAGAGAACATATGCAGCACATATTAGCCAAATTTAAATTGTCTCTGTTGATGCAAGACACGTAACCAAATGTTGTGGTGGTTAAGTAATCTCTGGTACAGTGAGTGATGATGACGCGTCTTGTCTGAGGTTCATGATGCTTACATTGTCTGAATTATTATTATTATTATTATATTTAAAACATGTGGTAGACCCGTAGCAATCTGAACTACGTATTGAACATTAAAATGGTATAAAATACCGACAGATTGTTAGGTAAGATACATATGCAACAGTTAGGTATCTTTATTTCGAAACGTTTCGCCTATACAGTAGGCTTCTTCAGTCGAGTACAGAAAAGTTGATAGAAGCAGAAGAAACTTGAAGACGATGTAATCAGTCCATCACCCTTAAAGTTTTGAGGTGGTCAGTCCCTCAGTCTGGAGAAGAGCATTGTTCCAAAGTTTGAAACAATATGGAGTTGAAGTATGTATGTGTGTATAATGTTCGCCAAGATCAGGGTCCTAGCACGGGTCTTAATCTTGAGATGACCCGTCTCTGGCTCCTGAAGGAGAATTGATTCTTCACTGTTGCAGCATATGCTGCTCAAGCACTGTTCCGGACAGTTCAGCTAGTGTGCCTCATAAGCGACTGAGGTTACTCCATCTCAGCTGTTTCCTGAGCTTGGGACTGGGCTCTGTCCGCTCTGATAATCTGCAGATTCATGGCATCCACTGTTTCCTGATCTGTCAGTAAGCACACCCTCAGGAGTGTGCTGACCATCTGCCGGAACATGCTCTGATGTTCTGTGGAGGTGACTGTGTTGCAGATAATATCTGTGAATGCCTTGATGAGTGTTAAGAGATCCTCTCTGTTGGGGGCCTGCGTTGTCGGTGGGTTCGAAGCAGTGGATATTATCTGGGCTGTTGTAATCTGTGGGGACTGCTGAGGGTTGTATTTCTTCACTGTGCACACCCTGGCCTGTTGCTGTATGCCAAGTTGTGTAACCGGCATCTGCTGGTGAGGTGCAGCCACAGCCTGCACAGTGGCTGTGCCTGGCAAGGAGGCCGGTGGGGGCTCGTGTAGTGCCGTCTGCTGATTGCGTTGCCCAGATGTTTCCTGTTGGCGCCGCCTGTTCCTCATGTTTTTGTTTCTTCGTTGCGGTAGTGGGGGAAGATGCTCCTGTTCATGACGCCTGGTTGAGTCTTCAAGTGTCGGAAATTCCTGGGCATTGAGTTGGGTTGCCTGATGAGAGTTCTGCAGTATCGCAGGATTCTCTGCACCCATCGTCTGCTGAGGGTGATGCTCTGCCCTAGACTGCTGTCTCGCCGTTGGTGCCTTCCAGGCCTCACGAATTCTAGTGAGCCTCTCAGGGCATCGAGGGTTCCAGGCATGGTGTTTCTGCCTGCAATTCGGGCATCGTGGAGTGGGTGGCGATGCATTCTTCAGCTTGGTGATGCATTCCTCGGTAGGGTGGGGCTGGCTGCAGACACCGCAGATTACTCTGTTTGGACAGAGTGCACCCAGGTGTCCGTAACGCTGGCACTTAAAACAGCGAAATGGTTCTGCCGTGAAGGTCCTGACATCGTACCTGCCCCAAGAACCGAGGTCCAGCTGGGATGGCAGCGGTCCTACATGCTGAATGAGGACCTGCCGGGTTGGTGCGTTGCCTGCCGATTTTGCCTTGAGACGCTGAGCTGACACGACACTGGGATGAGCTGCTACTGCCTCGATGGGCATCATCAGCGGGTATCGCATCACTACACCCTTGGTGACCTTCTGCCGAGAATCCAGTTCCTCCAGGGTGAAGGAGCGGTCTGTCTCCATGACTTTCTTCAAGGTGATATGCATTTCCCTGTTGATAGGAGTCAGTATTGGTTCTCCCCTCAGGTTGAACCATATCTTGAACCTCAGTTTGTGCCGTGTTTCCAGGTGTGTAACCACACCATAGTGGGTTTTGTGTTCCCCATAAGCTTTTACCTTGAATCTGGAAGGTGATTTGAGCTGGTTTACCTGCTCCTTGGAGGGACGGCGTGTCTTACTGTTCACATTGATCCATCCTTCCGTATTCTCTGGCTGCATGGTTAGGCTTGTCAGAACTGGAGACTTTTCCTCTGATGACACGGAGTGGTCTCGCAACTTCCTCGCTAGGATTGCGCCCCACATTTCTAAATCCGAGTCGTCCATTTCTAAATCCGAGTCATCCGTCGTGTCCCTGGAACATCGTGACCTCTTCCTTTCGGCAGAAGCCATGTGTCTGTCAACGTGGTGCTGGACTGTGATGCTATGTGTGGAAACGCTACTACTGTTTCAAACTTTGGAACAATGCTCTTCTCCAGACTGAGGGACTGACCACCTCAAAACTTTAAGGGTGATGGACTGATTACATCGTCTTCAAGTCTCTTCTGCTTCTATCAACTTTTCTGTACTCGACTGAAGAAGCCTACTGTGTAGGCGAAACGTTTCGAAATAAAGATACCTAACTGTTGCATATGTGTCTTACCTAACAATCTGTCGGTATTTTATACCATTTTAATGTTCAATCTGTCAGACACTGCAACACAAGGGTATCTTGGTACAGACCTGAAATCAACTTCGACTACCTCTACTAGTGAGAACGGCTGGATTTGAGAGGGACCTGACCTCCCAACATCCGCGTTCTACTAGTGACCTACGTCTCACCTCCTGGCGCTATATAAGGCTCCATCCTGTCACTTCAACTCCATATTGTTTCAAACTTTGGAACAATGCTCTTCTCCAGACTGAGGGACTGACCACCTCAAAACTTTAAGGGTGATGGACTGATTACATCGTCTTCAAGTCTCTTCTGCTTCTATCAACTTTTCTGTACTCGACTGAAGAAGCCTACTGTGTAGGCGAAACGTTTCGAAATAAAGATACCTAACTGTTGCATATGTGTCTTACCTAACTGAACTACGTATGAGATTAATCTACCGGTAACAAGTATAGTCTCAGTGTTAAGTTATTTTTATAACCTAACATTTGTGACAGTATCATTGGTTGATTGCCTGCAGAATTATACATACACTGTATGAGGATTAGACGTAAACGGACGCTTCTGTCTTCATACTTTTGAGTCATGAGTCATGTCTCATCTCGAGTATAAACACAAAGTGGACAGTAAAGCAAGTTTTGTTTGAAAATTTCTAGCTTTGGTGCTTTCTTTGACTTGTTTACTACCAGGTTCTCAGCGGGCGGTCTCATAGTATGGTTGTATGTACCACTTCTCACTCTCTCTCCTCTAATATTAATTGTGAAAGGGGAGGACTGGTAAGTCAGTGGAAGGCCTCGATCAGATGACCAAAAGCTCCAGTGGCGGGTAATTATTTTACTCAGACCCGCGTCAGGAAGCACTTGTCCTACCTCCTGACCAGTCTTAAGTAACCTAAACGTTATCTAGACAACTATGTCTTTGAACACGTTAGGTTAGGTAAGGTTTGTCAGGAAACAGGACAAGTGTTTCCTGACACGGGTCTTAGTCAGATGATGACCCGCCTTTGGAGCTTTGGTCATCTGACCGAGGCCTACCGCTGGCTTACCGGTCCACCCCTTTAAAAATTATGGTCAGTTATAACCATTTTTACATTTGAACACGTTATCGCTTACCCTGACCTTCCTCCCCGCAATGAAAACTCTTCTCCCTCACACGTTTCCTTCCTTCCTCTTCCTCTCAGGCTCACTACACAGACTGAGGGATTGCAGATATTGCACCTAGCCTGGCACAAAGCCAAGGGAAATAAAGTACGTAATATTGTAACAGAAGGCACATGTTAGGTGTGTGGAATACATCATCGGGTCCTCACTGGGAGTCCTGTTATTCCGGCATACAATGGGTGCACTGGGTCACATTTGACGTGTCTGACATCACTAGGTCAAGGCATTGGCTTAAGCCGGTGGGAGAGTTGGACCTGCCTCGCATAGGCCAGTAGGCCTGTTGCAGTGTTCCTCTTTCTTATGTTCTCATGATAGTCAATTCAGCTGCATGTGAACGGGATATTTGATGAATTGGGACGAGGCACAGCTCGTCCTCACTGACCAAGATCTTAGAGGCCTAGTTAATCGCCGTCACCAACAGCGTCACCAACATAGCGTTACCAACATAGAACATAATACTGGAAATTGCAAAATTTCAATAACATTATCATACACGATACTTAACCAGACAAGGCACCACCTACCTAACAACACAGAAGTCACGTGATCACATTGCTGACCTATCCTCATCCCAACATGGCATTCTTCATGTCACTGTATCACTCACATCTCACTCCCCACCTACATATACTGTCTTTTCAACCTCTGTGTGTTAGAAGTGATGAAGCTCCCAGGACCGAAATGTTCTTTAATAAATATGTCTTAGTGTTTGTTTACGCGTCTTTCTAAACCAATTTGGCGGTATCTATTGCAAGGTTTATACCAGTACTATTACTACTAATACTATCAGTATTAGTAGTAGTATTCTACTACTACTTCTACTATTACTACTACTACTGTTATTACTACTACAATATTACTACTTCTACTATTACTGCTACTTTACTATTACTATTATTACGTTTACTACTACTAAGAATAATAATATCCAGCAGAAACTAACGAATGTTACATCCTCTGGAAACTTCAGGAAAATAGATAAGAAACTAAACCCTGCAGAAGGGACCCCACGAGGCTGCAACTTACACCAAATTTTAATACACAGTGTGACACCAGCCTGTGTTGCTTGTTGTCACCTTAACACCTGGTAGTATAGCAAAGCAAGAGTCTCTGCTAATAGACCTCTCTGTACAGTAAGGCAAGAGTCTCTGCTGCTAGACGTCGCAGTATAGCAAAGGAACTCTCTTCTGATAGACGTCGCAGTATAGCAAAGCAGGGATCCCTGCTGCTTCACGTCGCAGTATAGCAAAGCAAGGATCTCTGCTGCTACACGTCGCAGTATAGCAAATCAGGGATCCCTGCTGCTTCACGTCGCAGTATAGCAAAGCAGGGATCCCTAATGCTAAACATCGCTCCAGCGCCGGGTAGTAAAGTGAAGCAGGAAAACTAAACATTAACCTTGCTGCATTATTCCTCTCAAGTACAAAAATAACCTGTATTATTTTTATACAACTTTCCGTAAGTTACTTAGTATGAGGAAAAATTTACAGAAAATTGTCTGTTTTTCAGATAAAACGCGTTGTTCACGTATTTTGTTCAGTAGTTTATATTTATGAAACTAAATCTTTACCTTTAAAGTACGGAGACTTGTGTTGATATTGCTTGAGTAATAAAAGAGGCGTCGATGGTACTTCTGTTTGGGAGCAACTTAGTTCACCTTAAGTTTTGGAATTCGTTTACCGTAGCCCCGAGCGATGCTCTAGCACATATTTTAAAGCCCGAGAGAGAGAGTGGGTGTAAACTTACTGGTATATAAATACCTACTCTGGTGAAGGCCCTGGTTACCATTCTCTTCACGTCAAGGTTGGTGCTGGTAGGTGGGACAACTTTAGGGGCTCCTCACACACCACACTTTAACACCATGTTGTTACTCTTCAGAAAGGCGCAGTTCCTTCCCACTGGTGAACTTTACCTTAACCTGGGAATCGACCCTCGTTACACTAACATATGTAACTTAGTGTATACGTACTTCAGGAAATCTTACCAATGTTCTTGTAAGATGTTTTCCCTTACTAACTCGACTTGTGTTTTGGTTCTGAAGGATGTTATTGCACTTTAAGAAGAGTTAAAGCAGTGTGGGGATAATTATCACTAGTTGTGACGTCAGATGAGTCATTAGATTAGTGCTTATCGCTGATGCTTCTCGTGGCATCAATATCATGAAGGACCATCAGTATTGCTCGTGAGAGACGTAATTATCGCTGGGTGGTGACACGAAATTTGGGGAAATCATTAGAAGGTTTTATCTGCAAGGAAAAGAAGTGTAATTAATGTTATTTTTCTTGGCCAGAATCTGTTCAAAATTCTCAAAAATTTGGAAGATTATTACTGTAGAAATTTATGTAAATATTTGTTAACTCTTATTAAAGCAGGCTTTGCACAGGAAAATTTTTAGTAATGAACATAATGAGAAGGATAAACAGCTTCGAGAATATGTATACATCGAGAGGTGCATTTTTTCAGCGTATATATACTCGGTTCATTTTAATCAAAATTTTAGGGATTAAATTCTTTAGTCTGGTAGTAAAAAAGTTATGTGATGTCTTAATAACCCTACTGAGGTAAATAAGCTTCAAGTCCCCTTAACTAACCATTAATCTCGAGGTTTTAAATACCATTAACCAATCTCGAGAGACCTGCTTCAACTTTCTTCTTTATATCTCGACCTTCTCTTCATTCTCCCTCTTCATCCTCTACCCACTCTTCATTCTCCACATATTCTTTGTCCATCTCCTATTTATTCATCTCTTTCCTTATCTTCCTCTTGTTAAACTCTTCCTCCTCTTTCTTTCATCTTGTTCCTCGACTTCTAACATCTCTCCTCTTGATCACTAAACAGAACGTAGGTGCAAACCAGAGTAGATACACATGTATAGACCCACACCATCTGTCTGTCATTCTCCCAGTGATGTAATGTGATGTTAGTGGACAGCTGGCAGGATTGAAAGTCAAGAGATATGTACAGTAGGTTACTACCTGTTTGGTCAGTCACTAGGCTGCAACACACTACCTTATGACGATGTCATTGATTTCATTGTGTCATGCGTGCCATCATTACAATGTTCAGGGTTAATACCATGCACTTTGCCATATAAATATTTCTACTGAATGTGATCATGGGCAGCAAAGCAACGAATCATTGCATTGCACAGGATCGGCGGCTTAAACATATTAAACAACTAGAAAATATTTCCCATCATTCCCACATACACTAACCTGAGCCTCACTTTCCTCGTAAAAACTCTGCGACTTTTAATAGGAACATAAGAAAGAAGGAACACTGCAGCAAGCTTATTGGCCCATGCGAGACGGGTCCAAGTTTGTATATTCCACACATTTGTTACATCTACCTCATTGCTTCCCTTATTCGCCCTATTATATTTTTTTAATTAAAAAAATGCGACAAACCATTGCTTACCTTCAGGTAATCAGTGTTCACGAATATCCCTTAATGTAAGCACTTCGACTGTACATGTTCCTTTTCGATCCTACTTTCTGTTTTACCTCTAACTTCTTCAATAATATTTATACTGTATGTTTTACCAGGTAAATTCAGCAGATTTATTCGACTATAGCCCTTGTCCAACTGTCCCTTGTTCCGTTATGTAAAGGTATTCTACCTATTCTTTTCCGATCCCTAGTACTCTTCACTAGGACTCACGAAATCATACTGACACGATTGCAAACAAACCATACCACGGGTGGGGATAGAACCCGCGATCTGAGCCATAGAACTCCATTCTTTCATGCATATATAAACCAAACACACCAACCTCCAAAGCTAACATCCCCACCTGCTTCTAGCATTTCTGTCTTAATTCCATCTGTCCAGTTTTATTTTGTTTTAACCCTTTAAATTCTACTTACTGTCTGTCTCACACTTTCCCCACACTCACCTCTGGCTCTTCTTTACTCTTACTACATGTTTCTTCTCGTTATCCAGGGCATCACATCACCGCCTCTCTCTTTTTCATCGTCAACATCTCATATCTCAAAATATTCTCTTCTTGTCTCCAGTCTGACATTTTCCCTCTGGTATTATTAACTGCCATGTTCATTTGATCTTCAAGCTTTCTCAACTTATTAATATTCCTCTAAATCTGTGTCTTAGTCCCAGTAAAATTTAGCCATAAAGACTCGTATTCTCTCATTGTCTCTCCTTTCGTACTTCCTCACCACTCATTTTTACCTTTTTTTTTCCTCTCAATATACTCTGTCTTCCGTACGTCATTGTAAAATTCTTTCATATGCCAACTTTTCCTCTTTTACCATCCTCTTTATCATCATTCCACTAATCATTCCTCTCCTCTCCTGCACCTGCCCTCCCACAACCACAAGCTTCTGTACACTAACACTGAATTCATAAACCTGTCACACCCCTTTTCAACCTCATTAGCCGTATTCTCTCTCTCCACCTCACTATGTTTTTTTTCATTATCGTACTCACTAATGTTTTTATCGTTTTCCTTCATCTGCCTTATAAAATAGTTACCGCTAAAAAATTATCAGCTGCACATCCAGAAGTCTATCCATCAACATTTTATACTTTATTGCAAAGTTAGCAAATTGCTGTCATTGTTCTTCACTTATCTCAAAAATTTATTTGTCCTTTTTTCCCACAATTCTTTCTAGACATAATTCAATTCGAGCCCCTCATTATTACGTACCTCTAGCACTCCAAACTTACCAACTACACCATCTACAACAGTTTCTCCCACTTTAGTATTTAGTTCACGCAAGGTTCAAAACTCCCTGAACAAGTCACTTTGCCTTTTTTGCGTTGTTCTGGGTTATTTACACTATGTATGATAATTGTATTTATGTGTACTTGTGCCTAAATAAACTTACTTAACTCTCAAAATGTTCTTCTCTCCTCATTCCTCTCGCCTCCAGGTTCATAAGCACTTTTTAATAAAGTCTACTTCTCATCCCGTTGTTACTCTAATCCACATTATTATTATTATTATTATTATTATTATTATTATTATTATTATTATTATTATTATTATTATTATTATTATTATTATTATTATCAAAAAGTCTAATCCACATAATTCTTGAACTGATACGCTCGTATCCCCTCTCTCTTTCCTTTCAGTATTGGTCATTTAATGTTAGTTCTACTTCTTTACCTTCAGTTGTCTCAAATACTCATGATTTAATCCCCATTACTCTTCCCCACTGAAATTCTCCCATTTTGTTTCACTTAGGACATTCTTCGTTCTTTCTTTCATAACATTAACTATTAATTTTATTATTATGTTCTACACTCATTACGCATTCTGACGACCCAACTTTATAATTTCCTTCTTTTTTATTTTTACTAGCGGAGGAAAATGTTCGACCTTGTTTGCACGGAGCGCCTTTGTTTCTGGCACTGGAGTCGCCTTTGTTTCTGCCTGGATCCTTTGTGGCACTGGAGTCGCCTTTGTTTCTGGCACTGGAGTCGCCTTTGTTTCTGGCACTGGAGTCGCCTTTGTTTCTGGCACTGGAGTCACCTTTGTTTCTGGCACTGGAGTCGCCTTTGTTTCTGGCACTGGAGTCACCTTTGTTTCTGGCACTGGAGACTTGTTCTGCAGGAGTCACCTTTGTTTCTGGCACTGGAGTCGCCTTTGTTTCTGGCACTGGAGTCACCTTTGTTTCTGGCACTGGAGTCGCCTTTGTTTCTGGCACTGGAGTCACCTTTGTTTCTGGCACTGGAGTCGCCTTTGACACACTCTGCTGCTCACTGGGCAAGAATTCTAACCCTCTTTCCCGTGGAATTCAAAGAAATAATTACGAGAGCAAGAACTATTAAGAAAGCGAGAAGAAAACTCAAATAAGTGTGTATACATACACATATACATATACACTCACATACATGTAGTGTATACTGGTTGTTAGTATTAGTTGCAAGATTTACATGTCTGTGTTTACATCTTACATGTTTATGCAACACGTAAGATGCAAACATATATTCAAATAAATGTTTCTAAAATTCCCATACAAATTTGCAAATGTGAGGGAGAAGATGAAAACACTCAAACAACTCGGGAAGAAATCTCTTAGATTTTCCCTGAAATATGTTTATCTTATTCTCTGAGGATGAAGGTCCTAATTAGAGGTGGTACTACCCTTATGTGTATATATAATATATACACATACACTGATGTGCAAGTGTTTTGTTACAGATGGTGTGCGTGGTAATGCTGGCTGGTCTACTGGGACTGGCGGCAGCGACGGTGACCACAGCAGATGTAAGTGAACTTGATCACGACGTGAAAACTCTCTCTCCATCAGAGTCGGAGGAGAGAATAGACGCAGCCAGGAGGCAGGAGAGACTCTTTGCTTTCCTCACCACCACCTCCGTCAAGCGCCTGGCTACCACCACCATCACTGCACTCTCCACTTGTCTCTCTGTTGGTACTACAGCTTGCAATGGTCGTAAGAAGAGGAACGGCTTCAGGGAAATTGAGTAAGCTTCACTTTATTCTTGTTTTACAATGTTTTATTTGAAACCTTGATTTTACTAGACGTGTCCAACAGACTTCAGCTTCACGAAGACTAAAAGATATATCGTGTATCATCGAGGACTATCCGTTTTATTTCCATTAGGGTTATTTAATCTTGTCCTCCAGGATGCGACCCACACCAGTCGACTAACACCCAGGTATTTACTTGCTAGGTGAACGGGGACAGCAGGTGTAAATAAAATACACTCGAGTTTCCACCCAGCTGGTATCGAACCACACTCAGTGTGTGAGGAAAGAGCGTTGCCAATCAGACCACGGGACACCCTAAGCAACATTATAGCTTTCTAGTTGTCTACAGAGAGAGCTAGATGCCTCGAAGACAAGGACACCAAACTGTTTATTCTCATAGAAGCTGCAGAAGCACTGTGTACTGTAACCTAAAATTTGCAAGTCAAATGATACAGGGCAAGTGCCAGAGGTATGGACGACAGAAGCAGACAGGAAATATCGAACCACCGGCCAGTGTCGCTGTTATACATACTGCTGGAGGTAATGGTGAAGATAATCATAAGAGTGGTGGAGCATGGTTTTAGAGACGGCGTATCGTCTCACAAAGTAACAGATGTGAAGGAAGAGAGTGGGCGGACTGCATATTCTTGGACTGTAAGGAAGCCTAGACAGCACCGCGTAAGAAACTGGAGAAAAGTTAGGGTAACAGTCATGACTAACAGGACATGCAATACAGCGAATCAGAGGAAATCTAAAAGGAAGGGAAAATAAGAGCAATTGTCAGAGAAATGAGAAATGACGTCAGAATGCGCAATTGTGAAAACTGGGGTTCAATAAAGATTGGTACCTAGATCAGTGCTCTTTTGTTATACTGACGAGTAGGACGGAGCCTCGCTGCTGACACCCCTGCCCCTCGTTAGTCCGGAGTCCGGAATCTGATTGGTCTATGGCCAAGGTGTTTTTAAAATGGGAGTCACGTGACACTAGCGTGATTGACAAGGATGGTACATATAAAAGGATACATATCATTGACACTTAATAGTTAACGTGATGACGTGCTGAAAGACGTTTATTACATGAGAATGTCTTATTCGTCAAACTTCAAATTTTCAACGTTGTTGCAGAACAAGCTGCAGGGGGATGGAAATCTTTAGCTCTAGATCTTTTGCACTCTCACGCGTTGCCAGGAACTATGCAATGTTGCAATACTAGCAACAGGTAGGAGAAATTCTCTGAGGTGAGGCAGGGGCGTATCAGTAGCAGTCATGTCACAGTGTGCGATGGTCGTACTATCAACATTGGTGCAATGTTACTTGGGTAAGATTTATGGGACTATTTCCATAAGTGGTGCAGGATTGGTTAAGAAAGCTGGAGAAGGGTAGAAGGGACCTAAAATGGAGTACAGGCTCTGGAGGACCTCGGGGTGAGCAGTGTACCGAGCATATCCCTGATTCACACATCATCCGAATAATCTCTGTAGCATTTGCACGTTTAGTAAATCTAAGATTAGCTTATTGGAATCGCAACAAAGAATAATTCATAACAATAGAGACGGCATATGTCAGACCCATTATGCAGTATACAGCAGTAGCCTGGAAGCCATGTTTGAAGAAGCATGTTAAGCAACTGATAAAACTGCAAAGGTTTGCAGCGGGACTAGTCCCATTACAGGACAAATAGAAAAGGCAAGACATGACAACTATGCACAAAATACTCAGAGGAATTGACAAGATGAGAAGGGATAGAATGTTTGAGAGGCAGGAAATAGTACATGAAGGTACAGCTGGAAGTTATAAACACGTATCAGTCACAGGGATATCAAGAAATATTTTTTTACAGCCTCAGTGTGTCCAGTAAGTGGAACAACCTGGAAGTGAAGTGGTAAAGGCAGAATCCATACATAGCTTTAAGAACAGATTGATAGGGCTCAATCAGTCAGATTATATAGAATCCTGTAGTGGAAAGTGGAGAGGCAGGACCAGGAGCTAAGATTCGACCCCTACAACCACATACAGGTGAGTACATATTTATGAACGCATTCTCACACACATGTGCACACAAACAGTCTCACAAATTTACATACACCAATGAGAGGCGGAGCGAGAAGCTAACACAAATAGATGAGTTTATCCTCACTAAACAGGTAACAGTACCCAAGGACTACCAGTGACAACTCCAGTGCCACCACATCATACTTGACCTCTGTTTCATCTCTCACACAGCTCGCTGGAACAATTGGTGCCGGAGCTGACAGGAACACAGGTGGATGAGAAGGTAGAGATCGATGAAGAGGGAGGTAATGGAAACAAGAGAGGGATGAGGGAGGTCGTGAATAACAGGGATGGTAAAAAACTCACAATTTGGTCCACCTACGTCAGTACCCTCACCCTCACCTCCACCTCCTACGTTGCCGGCACTACCATCACCGTCTCCGCTTTGTGTGTGGCGCCAGGAATCACAGCAGGATGCTTCGGGAAGTAGCGAGGAGCTGCTTGAGGCTGCCACATCTCCTGCAGGTCCCTCCGCAACGATCATTCAACAGCATCTACTAACATTATTATTATTATCACACCGGCCGATTCCCACCAAGGCAGGGTGGCCCGAAAAAGAAAAACTTTCACCATCATTCACTCCATCACTGTCTTGCCAGAAGGGTGCTTTACACTACAGTTTTTAAACTGCAACATTAACAAAATAAGCAGTAGTTTGGAACATGTCATTTCCAATAAAAATCTACTTTGGAACAAGAAAATTAAAACACATACGTGTCTGTATATGTCAGTCTCAAACTGGAGGTCTTTTCAGCAGACTAACAGATGTACAAGATATGAAACAAATATACAAAGGCAGTTCTTACCTGAGTCACATATGACTTGAGTGAGGAGTAGGAAGGAAGACGGAAGAATCAAGTCAGGTACTGGTATGGTTATCTTCATGACAAGAGTAGTTATAGCATTATGTTCATACTTCTACTAAAGTTTGGAGCAGTTCCAATGACGACTAACTCATTTAATGTTCCAATCCTACCATGACACATGTTCACCATTCACCTTGCAGTTGAAGTTGTTAACAAATATGAAGACAGAGCTTTTTATTTATTTGTTATGGATGGTTTGTGCTGCATATATCCTGCTGATTATGTTAGGGTAATTGAACGTTATGTCCGAGAGTTAACTTCGTTATGTATTATGCAGTGTTAACCGTCTTATTTGCGCTTCTTGATTTGTAAATAGAGCGATTTGTTTATCAAAGCTTCTCCTGGAAAACAGTCTGAAAAACCTAGATTAAGAAAATGTTCAAAGACTACATTAAGGGGCACGTCAGTTCCCCTGTTTTCTAATAATATGTTATTTTTCCCCTACAACTACCTTGTCCATAATTACTATCACATTTGCTTTGCTTTCGTAAGATGAAGTCCAGGATCTATCCTTAATTCATGGTATAACTTAACAAATTTTTGAGGACAGTTGTGTTCTAGAGGTGTGAGCAAAGCTCAGTATACACGTCAGTGTGTCGAACAAGGCCTCGGTGTGAGGATCGTATATACAGACATGTCTGTTCCAGTTTTCTTTCCAGACAGAGTTTAATTGGTAATATTTTATTATTTATATCAATGAATCTGAGAATTTTGGACTCTCTTCCTCAAGCATCTGAGCAATTCAGATATTAAATGTGCACTATTTTCCAGTGTGTTTTAATAACCAATTTTCAGAGAGAAATTGAAAGCCTAATATAATTTGTGATACATTTATTGATGGATGACTTAAGGTTTCCTGGGAAAAAAAGGTTCTTACAGTGAAGCCTGGAAAATAACGAGACTGTTAGCATGAGTCGGTTGACTGGTTGGTTAATTTGGGTTTAAAGACTCTCAGCTACATGAGGGCCAATAAGTTTCATGTAATCTATACACCACCAGTAAAGGGTACCATAATTCTTAAAATAGAAGACTTAATGTGTACTCAGTGTATATACATAGAGATACACACCTGATGGGATGTATACCCTGGCGGTGTGTTGTTCGTCAGGAAACAGGCGTCTCCTGATATAGGTTTTAATTAGATAATGAAACGATATCTGGTGAAGGATCATCTAGGCTACAGCAGCTACTTTCACCTCACTAAATGACAAAGAATCACTATATTATAGATCATTTTCCCAGCTTACATAATTAGTGTCATTTAATTCCCTTGATCAGTAATCCATCATCCTGACCTTGACCTCACAACACCAGCAAACACCCCTTCTGCATTAGAATTTAATTCCCTCGTACACCACTTTCCTGCCACATACATGGTCTGCTTCGAGACAGCTACTCTCAGCTAAACTAGGGCTGTCTAATAAAAACACACCTGGACAATATTATTTTCTAACAATGTCTACTTAATGTAATAAATGTAGTGAATTCCTTGATAATGTGAGAAATCAAGAAATCTCTTGGAATTTCGCTAATTTTTCATTCTGGTTATTTTGTACATTGTGGTATCACCTGTTTATTGTGATGTTATTGCATTAATGTAATGAATGTATGTCACATCGGATATAAGTGCTCTACTAACCACATGCAACTATAAACAATGGATCATTTCTTGGGCTACAGAGTGAAGTAGGGCCTTCGTGTTGGACAGAAATAATTTTTGTTGTGTAATTCGTGAAGAGGTATTCGTCGACCACCCTTGGCGGAGGTCGGACGTCAGCAACGGTGCTCGCACCAGTTGGTAGCTCAGAGTGATTTTCGCAAGATGGCACAAACCACAAGGAGGAAAATCAACACTGTGTGCAATGAGATTTTGAAAGGCGCGGTGTATAACACGAACGCATAGATTCTGTTGCCTATCACCCTGCGCGACACCTATGGCATCAACAATGAAGACCTGTATGGTATTGCACTGAACGGCTCAACGAGGATTTTTGTGAGGTTTGTGACGGCGGCGATCTACGACAAGATGGTGGAGAAGTACCAGGATGTGTGGAAGATTGTTAATCCAGGTTTGGAGGTACGGATGCGGGATGTATCCAAGTACTACACTTGAGTAAAGTTAAGGAATGTGCCTTTGAGGCGGAAGAGGAGGATATACAAGTGGCATTCGAAGTGTATGGCGTTATACATTTAGCAACAATGGGACGATGGGATGAGGGTATGTATGCTGGAATACGTGAGGGCACTTTTACCCTTAAGATGACTCTAGGAAAATCCATACCGTCCTATGTGGTGTTGATTGATTTCAGGACGCAGATATATGTTACATATGCGGGACAGAGACGCACATGTACTGTGCGTCTCTGTCCCGCATATGTACACATGCATATGAACACATGGCTGCGCAGTGTTCTAAATGATCAGTACCTGAGAATCGCGGTGCAGTGAAGAGAGTGGAGAGGGACAGTGAGGTGATGAGTCAGACTCCAGGACGGAATTCTGAGGCTCGAAAGACATGAAGTGATATGGTGGAGGGTCATTTAGAGGAGTGTGTAATTTTACCGGAGGTTACACAGGTAACTGAGGTCATGAGAATGGAGGACGAGGCGGGTCCAGAGGAATTGGATACGGTGTGTCGGATGTCATAAACTCTTGTTACAACACTTACAGGAAGACTATAATGAGCAAGGAAGTCGGCATAATGTAAAGGATGGAGAATCTGTGGAGGAGGGCAGGATATGTGACGTAGGTAGTAAGGGTAAGCAGACATGAGATGTCACTGAGGATATGTGAGACGGAGGTTGAGGTGCACATAGAGGAGGGTGTCGATGAGGGCATGCAAATAATAGGTGAATCTCGTAAGAGAGAGGCGGGTACATCTGATGCAACTTTGAGCATCCCAAAAAATGTAGCGAGCTCCTGTCTAAAGGAGTGTGTCGTTCTTCTTCCTGTACTTTCTTTCACCCATAAATGTGTTACTCCTCGGTCCTCCAGAAGCAGTGTTACAACATCAACGGCCCTGCATACCATCTAAAAGGGACCAGGAGGCACAGACCCCACAAGACAAACAATAGTAGCTACGACAACCCAACTCCAGGTGATTTTTTAGTGGTAGGAAACGGAAAAAGAAAATGGAAGGAAATAACAAAAATAGTCCACCACCTTGGAGCCTTGTTGGATTGGAGGCGCAGCCAGTGGCCACCCATGGCCCTCCAGAACTACAACTACTGATGCCAATAACAAAATCCCCCCAACAAACACAGAATATAACCTTGTTCATATTTGCTAATATACAGGGCCTTAAGCCATCCACCAACAACAAAATACCTTTTATCAGTGGACTTCTAGAGGAGTCTAATGCAATGTTTGCAGCCTTCACAGAGACTCACACAAAAGATCACTTTGACAGTGAAATATGGATAAGTGGTTACAACCTTTTTTAGATGCGACAGAAAGAACAGGCAACAAGGTGGGGTTGGCCTGTATGTCAAAGAGTCCCTCATCTGCACGGAGTTGCTGAACACCACAAATGAGGTAGTTGAAGTTCTATCAATAAAGATCGAGAACCAAAACCTAGTCATTGTGGTTGTATATAAGCCACCAGATGCAACCTCACAACAGTTCAAGGAACAGCTACTGAAAATTGATTACTGTCTGGAAAACCTTCCAGTTCCATCCCCAAACATCTTTCTGCTTGGTGATTTCAACCTAAGGCATACAAAATGGAAGAATGTAGCAAATAATGTTATAGCTGAAACAATCCCCGGAGGTAGCGCAGATGAAAGGTCACATACACATGAGCTACTAAGTCTCTGCGAAAAACGCACCTTAAGCCAGCAGATAGTGGAGCCAACAAGACTAGAAAACACACTTGACCTTATCTTCACAAATAATGAGGACCTGGTAAGAGACATAAGAATATCAAAAACAACTAATTCCGATCACAACCTAATCAAAGTCCAGACGTACATGCATAGGGATCCTGATCAGCAGAATGCATGTACCTGTGAAAGTGTCTTCACAAAATACAACTTCAACAACAGGAACATCAACTGGGACCAGGTAAACCATGTCTTAAATGAAACCTGTTGGGAAGATATCTTAAATAACATGGATCCAAACCAGTACTTTGAAAGGATCAACTTCCTGGCAGCTTAAGCATGTTCTAGGCATATTCCCCTAAGAAAGAAGAAGAGCAGGAGTAAACTGGAGAGAGAAAGACGCTCCCTCTACAGAAGACGAAGAATCACTGAGCTCCTCAGGAACTCTAGAATATCTGATACACGGAAGGAGGCGCTGACCAGGAAAGTGGAAACTATCGAACTTAAGTTAAAAGACTCTTACAGGAACCAGGAGAGACAGGAGGAGCTTAAAGCTATTAGTGAGCCACTAATCAGTCTGAGGATCGACGACCCAAATGATTTCTTCATGAATGAGCCTCATGTATGCCAGATTTCCGACATTACCCTAACTCCGATAGACTTTGAAAAAGCCATTGTCAACATGCCCATGCACTCAGCCCCGGGCCCAGACTCGTGGAACTCTGTATTCATTAAGAACTGCAAGAAACCCCTCTCACGTGCCCTAAGTACACTATGGAGGAGGAGCTTGGACATGGGTGAAATTCCAGTC